CCTAGATATAAATTCATCCCAGGAGGTGAAAGACCTGTACACCAAAAACTAAAAGACATTGTTGAAGGAAGTTGAAGGAGACACAAAGAAATAGAAAAAAATTTGGTGCTTTTGGCTTGGAAGAATTAACATTGTTTAGATGTCCATATTATCTAAAGCAATCTACAGATTTATTGCTATCAGTATCGAAATCTCAATGATACTTTTCACAGAAATAGAACAAAAAATCCTAAAATTTATGAGGAACCACAAAAGACCCCAAATAGCCAAAGAAATCCTGAGACAGAGAGTAAAGCTGGAGGTATCACTCTTCCTGATTTCAAATTATACTACGAAGCTATAGTAATCAAAACAGCATAGTATTGGCAGAAAAACAGACTCAGATTAATGGAGCAGAATTGAGAGCCCAGAAATAAACTCACATATATATGAACAACTAATTTATGACAAAGGAGTTAAGAACATACAATGGAGAAAGGAAATTTTCTTCAAGACAGTGCTGAGAAAAGTGGACAGCCACATGCAAAACAATGAAACGAGTCCACTAACTTACATCATACAAAAAAAAAACTGAAAATGGATTAAAGACTTGAATGTTTTCTCCACTTCAATATTAGAATGAATTTTTTTTCTAAACTTCTTCCCCCCCAAAAATAAAAGCTTCAACTTTTGACTGACTACATTTGATAACCAAGCACAATATTAACTTGGGAGATGAAACAAAAATCTAATACAAATTTGTAAAAAAAAAAAAAAAAAAAGTCTCCTCAACAATTAGGAGGCAGTGAAAAGTGGCAGTTTCCTAGGATTCTGGGCAAGGGTTTCTACTTCCTATTTCATATGCTTCAGGAATTCTGAAGCATATGAAATATTACTTATGCAAACTTTTCATCTTACTTCTTTGACCACCTTTCTAACCAAAAAACACAAATTACAGGCTGCATTTTTCAGTGAACTGTTTGTTGTGAAAAAACACTTCCCCCTTTTAGCATATATCAATTTTTCCACTTATAGGGAGAAATCTAAAAAATTTGCAACTATACTGGAATTTTCAGACACCAAAACACAGTTTTAACCTCAACATCACAAGGTTTTCAGGTTGAGAGTTGATTCAAAAGGGCCTTCAAAATCACAACTATTTCTCTTTCATACATGTACAACACACCCAAACAAGTGCAAATGTGTGTAATGCTGAGACTGTATCTAACAAGAGAGTGGTTGTAACCTCCAGCTTCTGCTACTTCAATGACTGTTTAGGCAGCACCAAAAACAGTAAAATAAGGATCAGTAGGAAACGTGTTGAAACTGAGGTCATGATGTTGGGGTCTTGAGGTGGCTGGATTTTGAGAACTTAAGAGTCCTAAGGAATAGGGGATAATGTGTATTTCTATGTGGCTTGAACTACGCCCTTCCTAGAGTTCTGAATACTGAGGCTAAGAGGTTCGGTGTGACACCACAGCCATTACAGGAATTGTGAAGAGGGTGGAGTCTCCAAACTACATTTCCTATAATCCCAGAACAACTTTTCCATCAGTTCTAATGTTGGGTGGACTTTCTTTTGGTGGAAGTGATTTTAAATAAATCTTAGGCACTCCACTCACTCCTCTCTTCTTTTTTCTATACAAATTTTCTGGATGGCCTTTACTATCCACAAAAGCTTCCCAGGGGAGCATGAGTGATAGATCTGTTTGGAGTTGGTATTTATTTTTCTACTAACAGTATTTTGAAGTTTGTAGCACTCTCTGTCTTCTGATTATTGTTGAGGCAATATGTTTTTGCAGTTTTATTTCTTCTTTTTGACCTTTATTGTTTTTGGAGTATCTGTAGAGAGAGTTTTTTAGTCAGAATCCAGCCATTTTGGTTTATATTTTTGCTACAGAAAAGCCCTTCTTTGGTCTAATATCTTTGTCAACTGTCTCTTTTCTCTCTGGCTACTCTTAAGAGACAGAAGCCAGAACTTCTCTTTGTATTTGATATTTTGAAATTTATTTCCTTGTTTATTTTTATCTATTTTGTTTGAGATTTGTTATCCCTTCTAAATTTAAGGAAAAAAATTTTCCTTTAACCTGGGAAAAAAATCACTCAGCCATTATCTTTTTGAATATTGCTTCTTCTTCACTCTTTCTAGTCATTACCATATGTTATTTTTTTCTCATTTTGTTCTGCCATCTCTCTTAACTCTCTTTTTAGTTTATCTCATTGTCTCTGAGCTATGTTCTGGGTAATTCTTTAGCTTCATCTTATACATTTTCTAGCTGTTTCTTCTATTATATGTAATGCACTGTTGAAATGTCTAAGTTTTTAATTTCAGAAAATGTAAGTCCTATTGTTTCTTTCCAATATACCTGCCTTTATCGATAGTACCTTGTTCCTTTCTCCTGTTTTCAACTTCAGATTATATTTATTTGAACATGTTAAACATATATTGTATTATTAAGCTAAAAAATTCCACTATCTAAAGATACTGAGGAGTCTGGTTTGATATTTCTTGTTTCTTTTAACTGTTGCTCAAAGTGATTGCTTTGTAATTTGAGATCATCGGCTCACATATGGAAATTCTGTGCAGTCTATTTTGTGAGAGAATTTGTTTCTGTCAATTTCTCCAGAAGGTTACCAAGTCAGAACCATCTTCTCATAATTATTTGCCTTAGCATAATTAGTTGGCTTAGAATTATTATTCTGGAACTAGGTATGAAATGTAAATTCAAGAGCAAAAGTTTGTGGTTATAAATTATCAAGGAAGATATTTTTCCCCCAAAACCCAGGCTGACATAGACAAATATCTATGTTGCTTTCCTTTGCCAGTGGGAGGATTTGTTCCTTGACCACTCTTACTGAGTGTGTAGCACTGTGAGGGTGTAAGTTTTAGCCATGATCTCATTTCCAACTTCCTACATTGTTCAGGTCCAAAGGGCTTGCCTCCTGTTCTAGTGTAGTCATCTGAAGCCTATTTATTGAGATCCACAAACATTCCCTGGCAAACATGGTATTAGTACCTGATTTTTAGGTACTAATTAGTACCTTCTGATTTTTAGCTTTTTCTTTATTTTTGCCCACTGAAGATTTTCCCTATTTTCTTGAAATTTCAGCACGCATTTTACAGGATTTTAAAACTATTTTATATAGCATTATTTGAGTTTTATAGTTTTGTGGGGTGTGGGGATGGAAGGGTGGCTCAGAAATGGAAATCCTACCCCAAATCTTTTTATTAGGATATAATATATATTCAGTAAATTTTACACTTTTTAGTGTACAGTTGTATGACATTTGACAATAGTCATGTATCCATCACTGCAATCAAGACACATAACTCAAAATTTCATCATCCATCATCCCCCCAAATTTCCTCATGCCCCTATGTAATCAATTTGGTCAACTCTTTCATCTACCCCCAAGCCTTGGCAATCACTGAACTGTATTATGTGCCTATAGTTTTGCCATCTCCAGAATGTTGTATAAATTAAATCATACAGTATGTACCCTGTTGATTCTGTCTTCTTTTATTTATTATAATGCATTTGAGACTCATCCATGTTGTATATATAGCAGTAGTTTTTCCTTTTTATTTCTGAGCAGTATTTCATTGTATGGGTGTACGACAATGTGTTTACTCACCACTTGAAGGTATTTATTCACCACTCAAAATGTCAGTTTTTGATGACTATGACTAAAGCTGCTGTAAATATCTGCATACAACTATTGTATGAACATTAGGTTTTTAATGCCCCTGAGTAGAAACCTAGGAGTGAGATTTCTAGATTGTATGGTTAAATGTATGAGACATTAACAACTTTTTTTTAAACATTTTTATTGATTTATAATAATTTTACAATGTAACAACTGTTTTACAAGAAGTTGTACCATTTTGCATTCCCACCAGCAATGTATTAGCAATATATGAATTTTACTGGCAACATTTCTTTGCCAGCACTTAGAATTGTCAGGCCTTATTTTATTCTATAATTCTAATAAATGTGTAGTGTTGTTTTTCTGCATCTATTGAAATGATCATATGATTTTTATCCTTTGTTTTGTTAATGTGATATATCACATTGACAAGTAAAACTGTCCTTGCATCCCTGAAATGAATCCCACCTGATATGTTATATAATTTTTTAATGATAACTTCAGTTTTCTAATACTTTGTTAAGGTGCTAGAATTCAATTACTTAGCACTGAGACAAAATTTGAAATCCTGAGAAGGTTAAAACCTACACTATAAAAAAAGTGGGAGAATAGGTAATTAACAAATGGAATATGTGAAATGTAGGGTTTCACACCTATTCTATAAAGTACAGGACACACATAACTTAATAATATTTAAGTAAATATTCATCACCAATGATATAGTTGTCAAAGAACTAACAAGGTCATCATACACAACTTCTTTTCCAGAGTGGCCCACCAGTGAGACCATCCTCCCTGGACAAGTTCTTCAAACACCATGAGAGTTTCTCTGTTATTTGCCACATGTTTCAGCAACAGAAGTCTGTCAAGCAACAGAATGAGGTAGGATGAGATTTTCAGGATATTGTCCCATTTATTTATACAAAGGTTTGATTTATTAACCCCTGATGGTAGTTAACAAGTCACTAGACACCAGGTATCATAGAATATTCTTTCTGGCACAGTGAACCTCAAGTAGACATTTATACTCCTGTACGTCCTAGTTATTCCTTAGGCTGAACTTCAGTTTCTTCTTGGTCAAGTCCTAGCTGTTTGAAGTTTAGCTTACTGACTTCTCTTGACAAAATTCTGACCTCACCTTCAACATGTCTACTGGGTCCAGCATTCTGAGCCACATCTTGGATTAAACAGTTCTCTCTGCCCTTCCCTGCCCTTTCTGGGCTCGCAAAAGGAAAAGTTCTAAGTACAAGTTCTAGGAAATCATTCCAAAGTAGCGATGGTGGGAATGGCCTAATGCCTAAACACTGACTTGACCTATCAGGAAACACCTAGAGGGAATCCAGAGCTGAAAAGAGTGGCAGTAAAGCCACCCACTTAGCTATGCCCAGATCATGAGCCAGCAGGTCTGTGTGAGACTGGTGAGTACTGCCTGGTTCTTTGGGCTGATCAATGGCATCCTGCCTGAGTGTATGTCATTCTGGAATCCCTTCTGCAGAGACAACCATGTAGAAAACTTCTGTGAGGCCCCCATAGTGATCA